CATTCCAGAAGGGGATAAACAGCACTTCCAGGGGGAGAAAAAAAAAAAGCATGTTATCAGAAAGCAAAGAAGGGTGAGATCTTCACATTTCCATGTCTCTCCTCCCTTTCCCATTTGTGCCTCCTCATTTCTTTTCTCTTGTTCCCTGTGGCCTTCATTTCTCCTTTGTTTTTTTAATTGTTTTTAGACATCATGCTTTTCTCCTCTTTGTCTTTCCAGCCTAATACCAATCAGGCCCCTTCCATCTGTGTGGGGAATAGGCATTTTTCAAGCTAGCCTGTGCTTTAGGTTTAGGCAGCTAAATCCTGTGTGTTTCTGTCGGGGCCTGCTAGTTGGGGGCACAGTATAAATTTTCCCCTCCCCCCCCCAACAGCCTTCTTAGTCTACTCTCTGGAGGCTCTCTGACCTCTGAGTGTCAGGCTGTCTGGGCTGCTGGATTTCCTGGTGGTTATTATCACACCCAGGAGGCTTGGTTTCTTCTCCAGAGAATTAGGCCCCTGGTCAACTTGATCTGATTTTTTTTTTTAAGCATGTGGGGGAGGGGGGGTGAAGTTAGGGGTGGGGACTAAAGAAGATTGAGAGGCAATTTATTCAAAGATGGATCTCTGGAATTATTTTCGTGAGAATGGGGGACAGTTTGTGTAATCCAGAATAGGAGAGTGGATTCCATACTTCTGATAAAAGGGAGGGTTATTCAAAACATTGAGGGTATCTGAGGGAAGTGGTAGGTGTGTTCTGACTGAGTGGTTAGCTCTTTAATTCCGTGAAAGTAAGAATGGGAGACTAGGAAAAGCAGGGTCAGCTGAATATCAGAGTGGCCATGACTCCACCTTAAGTTCTACAGCTGGGGAGAGGGGGGGTGGAGAGGGCCGTGGCTTATGAAGTATAAGCCTTTACTGGTGAGGTATCCCTCTGTTTTTTTCCTCCATTCCTGGTATCTTCAGATCAGATGAGTGAATGGACCATAGTTACTTAAGCTTAGGCTCAGTGGCAACAGCCATGACCAAACTTTATCATCTTTTTGAGAAAAAGGCCCCTACACAACGTCTTACGCATAGTAGGTGCTTAATAAGTGTTTATTAATTCAGGTGGGGGTGGGGGAGGGACACCAGTTTTGGTAGAATCACCTCTGAGGGAATAGTTGAAGAAAGGAATAGAAATAAAGACTTGTGAGCATTGGTCAGTGTTATTGGACTATAGCAGAGACGATAGCCTCAGCACCCCAACCCCATCATAGCCTTGTCCCAACTTGGAAGGATATGGTTCCTGTGACCAGTGCTAATTCCCCCTTCATCCTTAGGTAAAAGAAAATCTTACCTTTTTACTTGGGTTAGGCCTCACGACCAAACAACTGGGGCAGTCAGTAGAAGCGAAACACTCAGTGTGATAGGGAAAGCACATACATACACATATATATACACACACACACACACCCCATCCCCAGTGACGAAGCATGGGAGTTTCCTGACTCACGAGCTAACATCTTGCTCTCTGTTCCCCTTGGTTCTTTCCTGCCCTTCCTTTCCTACCCTCCCTCCCCCTCCCCCCATATTGTCAGCGAGGAGAAGGAGGAAGTGACCATGGAGACAGCTGAAAACAGGCCTGAGAATGAGGTGCCTGAGCCCCCCATGCCCATTGCAGATGCAGCAAGCAGTGAGGAACGCCCTGAGGGCAATGCAGAGGATGAGGAGAAGAAAGAGGTAAATTTCAAGGCCACCTGTTGGTGAGGGTGGGGGACAACCCTAGGGGAAAGGGTAGGCCACTCTGGTGACCCCCTTTGAACAGCGGGATAAGTTCAGAATGAAGGGACGAGGCAGATCTTTGCTCAGGTCCCAGAGGCAGACAGGGACACTGATGAGTGTAGGGCCAAAGGGAGAATTTGCTGGTTTAGCAAGGGATACCCCTTGTATTGGGAACAGGGCTTAACATTTCTTTGTTGTTGAGGAAGGTTAGCTCCTGGGTCTTTTCAGTTTTGTATTTGTTAATTGGAGACTGAATTAAGGGGGACTTTTTTTCTCTTTTTCTTTTTCCTTTCTTTCTCCCTTACTGATTTCTAGGACATCAGCTCCAAGTCTCCAAGTTGATCTTTTGTCTTGGGGCTGCCTAGTTGTGTCCTGGTAGACTCATACTAGGGACAAGAGTCCTTGTTACATTTCCTTCCTTCTTTAAATTATTTTTCCAAACTCAGAGCTCAGTTTTTGTTGCTTTCATCTTCAGTCTCTTAGGCATAGTCACCTTCTTGCTTTCCCTCCTTTTTATTCTGTTAGAAAGCATTGCCCCCTAGTGGGCTTTTGGGATTTTTCACCACAGACTAACCATTCTGAGGAAATTTGAGTTTTCCTATCTGCCCTCCAGTGTTCCCATTGCTGAGATGTATATAACTGTACTCCATGGAGATTCTTTTTCTATTTTTTTCCATTTACATTCACTCATGCCATGCATCCAATTCAAGGGCTGCCTCAGTCCAAGCCAGCAAAATCTCCTTGGCTATTGTAGTGATAGAGAAAGTCTTAGCTGGGTTTGGGAGCTGGGGACACAGGGTGGGTGGGACTGTTGTGTGTGTAGCCTTTCTCTGGTGTGTGTTGCGGGGGTGGGGGCCGGTGAAAGTGATTTGATGTGCAGAATATTATTTATTACAAGGTCCTTCTTCCCCGTAAAACTTTGTCCAAGTACCTCATGTACGGTAATCCGCCCGTAAAATATAACCCTGCCCAACTGGCCAATTGCTGCTGCTGCCTCCTCCTCTGGACCCACCCGCTGCTACTGAGCTGCCCAGTAAGAGCCGAGTCTGCTATCCTGGTGCCTCGGCCAGAAGGGGGGTTGTATGTGGGCTCCTGGGGGGGGCCCCCCACAACCTGCTTCCCTGACCTGTCTACAGCAGGGGGCCAGAAGAGTACTGTTCAGGAGAGACTTGTATTCAGAAAGCAAAGTGCATCTGGAAAGGGGCGGACTTGTGCCATCTCCCTACTTGGGATGCCTCAAGAAGAACTTTTGTCAGTGCTGGGGCCCCTATCCATATGCCTCTGCTGGGGGCTTCCTTGTTCTCTACAGACTGTTGGATTCCCTTTCTAGGGCAACAAAATCTCCCTAAAGAGCCATGTGTGGGCATGGCATCAGGCTATAAAATACCAAAGTGGGGCCCTCAGAATAAGCTTCAACAGCTGAGGATCCTGCAGAAGGTCAAAGGTCTAAGCCCCAGGGACTTAATGCTGGTGACATCCCAGTCTGCTACATCACTGCTCACTCATCAGATGGACTTTCCTCTGGTCCCTGACTACACATGGTGGAGGGTAGTATGCTGGCAGCTCTTACCACTTCTCCATCCTTGGAGGCAGGGGCCTGGACCCATCCATCCACCTGACTGGAGCCACTGTCCCAGCTGGAGCTCTCTGAGGCGAAGCCACACACTCTAAGAAGAAAAGCAGCTTGGCCTTATGGTTGTCATTCTTCACCTGGAATGTCAACCTACCATTCCAGGGGTACCTTCATCTGAGGCGCCATGGCCACATCTGATCAAAGGCCTCCCCACCTAGTTGCAGGCAGAGGAAAAGGGGACCCTGGAGTCATCTATCACCTGGATTGCAAATGTTGAGTGTTATTGCTGCGGTTTGCCACTGATGGACATGGGGTCCATGCCTGCCTCTCATAATCCAGGGCATGAGCCACTCCTGCCATTCAGTGGCCACCTCATCAGGAACTACAAGATGGTGCCCGTACAGGGCTGGGACTGCTGTCTCTCCCCTCATTTTCCCCCTCTGCCCCTCGCTGAGCCCGGGCACCACCATTGAACTGTCTGACACCTTGGAGACTGGGCACTGCCCCCCCAATTTTTCCCCTTGCCCCCCCCTTCGCCCCCCCGGGAGGACTGTGGCTCTGCCGCCAACCACCACGCCGTGCACTCACCTTTTTTGCCAACCCAACCCCCCACCAATTGCACAGCGCCTAGCAGGGAGGGCTCATTCTGATTGGACCGGCGGTTGACTAGATACAGTACACAGTGAGGTGCGATTGGCTGAACTGAAGATCCCAGGTGTGAGATGGTACCTGGAACATTTGTCATATTCCTAATTTATTTATTTTCTTCTTTTTTTTCTTTTCCCCCCAAAAATCTTTATTTTATTTTTCCCCTTTTTTCTTTAATTTTCTGATTTCTTTATTGATTTTATTTGGTTCATGTTTTTCCTGTTTTAATTAAGACTTTTTTTTTTTCTCACTAACTTTCCCGTCGAGAGCGGCCCGGCTGGGGTCAGGCTGGCCCTTAACGGAGACCAAGGAGACTTGGTTAGATGACAGAAGCAGGGTTGGGGAGGGAGGTGGAAAGAAGAGATTTTGTCAGGAGTCCTGCTCCACCCTTTAGAAGGGTGGCCTTAGTTTTTCCAGAAATAAGCATGCAAATATAAAGGTTCTCCATTCTGTCCCCCATTCTTAGTCTCTCCCTTCTGCTCTCTTCATAGTCCCTTTCCTTTGGGAAGGGAAGGGAGTTGTCTGAAAGCCACCTTCTAGTCCTCAGTTAAAGCCTGTAAGGCATGAGTCCTGGTTGGAGAAGGAATGGTAAATCCCTCATGGAGCCAAGTAAGATGCCTCAGGAGGTCTAAGAATGCAACAGGTGAAAAAGGCTGTCCCTTTCAAGACCTTTCTACAGTTGTTACTTGTAAGTTCAAATGACATTTAGCTCACTCTCCTCCTGTCAAGTTGGTCTTGGGCTGCCTTCCTCCAAAAGAAATCAGGACTATAGGTAACAGAAATCTTCGGAATCTAACCCTCTAGAGTACAAAAGCATCTTGCAAATGGGACACAATTAAGCAAAATCGCTTGTACTTGAGGGATTAAAGTAATTTTCATTGGTAGACTGGTTGGTCATTTGAAGGGAGGAAAAAGGAAGATCCTTGAGGCCTTTCCCATCCCAGAGTTGGCTTTCTTTGTTCCTTCATTTTTAACCTGAGTTAATAGGGAGCAAGGAGGACTGCATCAGCCAACTCTGGGCAATAGAGGCAGTGGCCTCAGAATATGGGCCGAGTATGTCTCAACCCAGAAGGACTATGAAGGGGGCATGGCAACATCTTTGAAGAGCCAGGGAGGCTACTACACCCTAAAAGCCTTCTTTTCAACTTATTTCTGGTAAAGCTAATATGCAGGCATGGTGTGGACTGGACGGACCTTTCCCCGATGTGACGTTTGGTTTTGTTTTTTTCTCTAACTTGCATCGGTTCCGCTTCCGTTTTTGCCGTTTGCCGCTTCTGTTTTGGTCTCTCTGTCTGTCTCTGTCTCTCTTACTCTGTGTCTCTGGAGCCTGTGCTGAAACTACCCTCATCTAACCTCTTCCCCCCCTCTCTGTGGGGTGTGTCTCTTTCTCTTTTTTCCCCTTCTCTTCTCTATACAGAGCTCGATGCCCAAATCCTTCAAGAGGAAGATCTCCGTTGTCTGTAAGTCCAGACTTAAATCACTGATATTTAGGGATCCCATAGCAACCAGAATTTTTGATGGAACAGATGTACTTCTCTATTGCTCTGCATTTTTCTCTCTCCCAAGAGTATAGGTTTTTGTCATTTCTCTGGTTCCATTGAGCTCCTTGCACTTATGCCAGTTTCTAAGTAATAGGAAGGCTTACCTCCCTCCCAGTGGGAAATACACAGTGAGGTGTTTTAGACCCTACTGTCCATTTACTGTCTCTCCCTTGTTCTTTGCAGTTCTAGAGCCTAAAGCACTATGTAGAGAGAGACACATTCCTTCAAACACCTAAGTTCCTAGAACCAGAGAATATGTAATGAAGGCCCTTTTGTCTCACAGAGGAGTTTCTTCCATCCTACTAGAGAGTGTTTGATAGAATTTCTTTTTTTTAAATTCTGGGCCCCAGTATAAACCGTACATTGTTGTCCCCTTCCCTACAATTTTAAATGTCATTTCTACCTCCATTTGAAAAGTTAAACTGCTTAGGGGTTTTCCTTTTCACACAGCCCCCACCAAACATACTGTGATTTGCTGCCTTTAAGTACAGGTAGGTAATTTCTTTCAATCAGGAAATAGTTCTTCTTCTGTTCTTGTTCACTCTGAAGACAAGTTTTTTTCCAGTCTCTAAGGTTACTTGCCTTAGTTTTTAAAATGTGTTAACAATCTGGAGTGATGGATAGATAACCCAAGTTAAAGGTTGGTCAGTTAAAGGGATTACAGAGGGAACCAATATAGAGCCCCTGGCTGTCTCACAATTGAGCCTTGTTTCTTGGGGGTAGCGGCTACCAAAGGGGTGCCAGCTGGAAACAGTGACACAGAAGGAGGCCAGCCAGGACGGAAGAGGCGTTGGGGGGCTAGCACAGCCACCACCCAGAAGAAGCCCTCCATCAGTATCACCACCGAGTCTCTCAAGGTGAGGTGGGAAAAGCCTGAGGGGTGGGATGTGGGGAGGTGGGAGTAGATGTGGGCCCAGTGTAACGGGGTGGGGGGGTATCTGTGTCCCAGAGCCTTATCCCCGACATCAAACCCCTGGCGGGGCAGGAGGCCATTGTGGATCTACATGCTGATGACTCAAGGATCTCTGAAGATGAGACAGAGCGTAATGGTGAGGATGGAACCCACGACAAGGGGCTGAAGATATGCCGGACTGTCACACAGGTAAAAGGCTCGGTGTGCTAAGGAGCCAGATTATGGAGAGGTTCTCTCTATTTAGAAGTGGCTGGGAACAGGGTGGCTATTGAGGTAGGAATCAGAGATTGGACTGTCTCTCCTTTTCCATTGATTGAGTGTCTAAGCAAATCAGGGACTCATGTATTTGTACCCAGTATTGAGAATCTGTTACAGATGATTTGCCTCACTTAACATTATTTCTAGCATTTTAGAAAGAGCTTCTGACATCTCCTGTTCCTTCTTCCCTCCCTCCCTCACCAGAAAGAGTCAGGGTCATGGATATGATGTGCTTGTTAGGGAGTGCCTCAGTGCCCCTGATATGTTCCCTTATCTTCTTCCTTTCTATAGGTGGTGCCAGCGGAGGGCCAGGAAAATGGGCAGCGTGAAGAAGAGGAGGAAGAAAAAGAGCCTGAAGTTGAGCCCCCTGAAGTACCTCAGGTTTCTGTAGAAGTTGCCTTGCCTCCACCTGTGGAGCATGAAGTAAAAAAAGGTGAGTAATAAGGGAATGAAAGGACAAAAGGATTGTACTGGAGAAGGTAATAATCTTACAGTTATGCCCTGCTGACAACCATTCTTGGTTTTTGTTTTTGCAGTGACGCTGGGAGACACTCTGACGCGGCGTTCAATCAGCCAGCAGAAGTCTGGTGTGTCTATCACAATTGATGATCCTGTTCGTACAGCCCAGGTGCCCTCACCACCTCGGGGCAAGATCAATAACATTGTCCATATCTCCAATTTGGTAAGTAGTTTCCATCCCCATCTCCAACTAAAGAATATGCATCCCTAAGCATTCTGGCTGGGCCACAGGGTATTAAGAAACCTTAGGAATGACTGCCTTTCTACCTTTATTTCATTTGTGGCTTTTGACATTCCATTTTCATCGGCAGGTTCGTCCCTTTACCTTAGGCCAGTTGAAGGAGTTGCTGGGTCGTACGGGGACCCTGGTGGAAGAAGCCTTCTGGATAGATAAAATCAAGTCCCATTGCTATGTCACGGTGAGGTGGAAGGGTTGTTGAAGTCCTTTGGGAGCCGGTCTTGGGACATTGTAGGATGGTGAATAAATTGAAGGCTTTATGCATAATCTTTTTTCCTGCTCTTGTTTCATCAGTATTCAACAGTAGAGGAAGCTGTTGCCACTCGAACAGCTCTGCATGGAGTCAAGTGGCCCCAGTCCAATCCCAAATTCCTGTGTGCTGACTACGCAGAGCAGGATGAGGTATGAGACCTAGAAAGAAAGAAATAGAAAAGAGATGGGCATCTTATCTTCCCCTGTCCTCACTAAGATAGGGCAGCCTTTCTAAGGGTCCAGGGCACCAGAATCCTTTCATGAAGGATTTTCCCTGACACCTTGGTCAGGGCCTCTACAAGGAAAGATTTTTTTCCAGTACCCACTGCCCTTTCCATAACTGAACTTGTAACATTGCTTAAGAAATGCCACTGAGATGTACCCAAACCAGTCCATCAGGAGTGTCTTCGTCTCCTCTTGACTGTTTGCTCTTCCGTGCCCACAGCTGGACTTTCACCGAGGCCTCTTGCCTGACCGACCCTCTGAGCCTAAAGCTGAGGAGCAGGGAGGCCCACGGCCCCTGCACCCTCCGCCCCCGCCCCCAGCCCAGCCACCTCATCATCCCAGGGCAGAGCAGAGGGAGCAGGAGCGGGCAGTGCGGGAGCAGTGGGCAGAGCGAGAGCGAGAGATGGAGCGACGGGAACGTACTCGATCAGAACGGGAGTGGGACCGGGACAAGGTTCGTGAAGGGCCCCGTTCCCGGTCTCGCTCCCGTGACCGCCGTCGAAAGGAACGCGCCAAGTCCAAAGAGAAGAAGAGTGAAAAGAAAGGTAGTGATTGGGCTGTGGGTAGCTTTTCCCATCCTTAGCTGCTGGATTGTGGCAGGCAGACCCACCAATTGGATGGGATAAACCTTGGGGCCAGGCACAGTCAGAACCTAACCATTCACTGTCTTCACAGAAAAAGCCCAGGAGGAACCACCTGCCAAGCTGTTGGATGACTTGTTCCGTAAGACCAAGGCAGCGCCCTGCATCTACTGGCTTCCTCTGACTGACTGCCAGGTGAGCTTTCTCTTGTATAAAGACTGGAGAAAGCCAGAAGGATATGGGTTGTCTGGATAAGGGAGGTGGCAGGGTTACGGGAAAGGGGCAAAGCCCCTCTGTGAAGAAGCATAGACAGCAGACACCCTGACTCCCCTGCTTGGCCCACAGATTGTTCAGAAGGAGGCCGAGCGGGCCGAGCGGGCCAAGGAGCGTGAGAAACGGCGAAAAGAGCAAGAGGAAGAAGAACAGAAAGAACGAGAGAAGGAGGCTGAGCGAGAGCGCAGCCGGCAGCTAGAGAGGGAGAAACGTCGAGAGCACAGCCGGGAGAGGGAAAGAGAGCGGGAGCGGGAGAGGGACCGGGGGGATCGGGATCGGGATCGGGAACGGGAACGGGGCCGGGAGAGGGATCGTCGGGACACCAAGCGGCACAGTCGGAGCCGCAGCCGCAGCACCCCAGTGCGAGACAGGGGTGGACGCCGCTAGCTGCAGCCCCCCCCACCCTAAGGAAAGCCTCAGGCATCAGCCACCCTGCTGGTGGGGGGTAAGAGCCACAAAGGGATGGGCACTGCCACCACCTTCACCCCTGAGGGTATTGCACAGAATTACCTGTGCTGAAGTGCATCCCTCTTTTTGTTCACAGAACACGGGGAGAAGTGGCTGTGTGCTGCCCCATGTGCCCTTCAGCCTTTTCCCCAAACCCCATTTCTGAATCTGTGTAGGGCTAAGACCCATTTTGGGGGGAGGGGGGAGGGGGTAAAGGTTAATCTTAAAGATGGGAAGCAGCCTGGGGACTCAGCATCCTCCATGTCTCCCTCATCCTTCTCTCCCCATCTTTCATTTTCCCTCTAACTTGTTCTCCTTTCATTCCCTTCCCCTCTCTTCCCCTACGGGGATCTCACCTCCCCTCGGGAATAGCTGGGGTCAGGACTGGGGCACCTATGAGCTGAATCAGCATCTCTCCTCCCGAGTCCCCAGGCCCCTGCAGTTCCTGAAGTATTTCCCTCTTGCCCTTCAGCCTCCACCTGGCCCACAAGTTCCACTTTATATCCACCTTTTCCTTCTGTTCTATTTTTATTTTTATTTTTTTTATTATTAAATGATGTGGTCTATGGAAAAAATAAAAATCTGACTTAGTTTTACCTATTATTGTGCGGTTGGGTTTCCTTGGGAGTTAGTCATGTAGGAGTAGGAGTAGGAGAGGGTGGGTGAGGGCTCTGCTTCCTGGCCTTGGTAGACTTTTCTTAGCTGGGAGGCCCCAAAGCATACATTTAGGTGGCAGGATCACGACCTAGAAGGCTGTTCCCAGGGTTCTGGAGATCAGCCTCTGTTCAACCCTTAAAATTTGCTCCAGTGTAGAATACTGTGTCCTATTTCCCACCACCTGAAGAGGACCAGTGAAGGGTGTATGGGGAATGGGAGGGAGGCACACTGACCTTCCAGTTCCTGCTGCGGTACAGCTGGAGGAGTGGGGAGTGTTGTGGAGAGAGAACCCCCTTCTCCCCACCACAACCTCTGCACATGGTGGCGGTGTCTTCATCATCCCGGTCCAAGATGTTAAGACTCCCCGCGTTTACCGCCAGGGGTCAGTCGTCCTGCGTGCTGACTACTGAGGGTGCCAGTCCCGAAACGTAGGCTGCTTTTCTCCCGATCGCCGCCCTAGGAAATCACGTCCTTCCGGGGCCCATTCCGACCCCTTCGGCCCTCTCCCTAGGGATACCGTCTCTAAAGACTACCGTGTCTCAGGGGCCAACCTCCCTCCAGATCGCCCTCGACCTGGGCACCCCGAGCTGCCCCCGAAGTAATGCCCTGAGTGAGGCTGAGGTTCACCCTCAACCCATAATCCGGCTGCATGGAGGGGCCAGACAGGGCTCAGCGTGGCCGGGTTGGAGGACCGAGCCGGGGTGCAGGGCACGGCATCTGTATGCGCCGGACGGGCGCCTTTCCACACACGTGGGAGGAGGGGCGGGTGAGGGAGTCTGCACTGCCCCGGCCCCGCCAGGTGAGGGTCTGCTGGGGAGAAAAAGCCTGCTCCCCCCTCCTCTCTGCCTCCCCTTTTCCCTCTTCGTCCTCTTCCCCTTCTCCGTCTCCCTCTCTCTCCCCCTCCTCTCTCCTGCTCTTCTTCCTCCTCTTCCTCTCTCTCCCTCTCCTCCTCCTCCTCCTCTCCCCTCCTCTTCCTCCCTCTCCCTCTTCCTCCCCTCCTCTCCCGCTCCTCTCCCTCCTCCTCCCCACCGTCCTCCGTCCTCCTCCCTCCTCCCTCTGCAGGCGGAGCCTCCTCCTCCTCCCCCGCCCCCCTTTGGCGCTCCCCCCCGCCCCGCGGCTCCGTCTCGCTCTTGTTCTCGCCGGGGCCGCTCAGACCTGCAGCAAAGCCGCTGCTCCCGCTGCCTCCCGATCGGGCTCCGGCGTCCTCCCCAGTCGACGCTTCAGTCGGGGTCTCTGCGCTTCATTCGCGGGTGGCCGTGGGGTGGGGGGGGGTGGGGCTGTGTGTGGGTGTGGGTGTCCCTCTCCTGCCTGCCGCTCGCTCTCCTGCTGGGAGAGAGGCAGAGACCCTTGCGCCAGCCCAGGTAAGCGGACCTTCCACCCGCCCCGGAGCAGCTGGGGTTGGCAAGGCAAAGGGAGGGGGGGCTCTGCGGTCCCTCCCAGGGGTTTGCCCCGCGACAGACACCGGGCACCATCCGCTATATTCCCTTTTCCAGCTCTCTTCTTTCCCTTCTGTTTCACCTTGCTCCTCTCTTCTTCTTTCCCTTCCTCTTTCATTCCCTCTTTTCGCCTCTTCCCAAACCCTGTTTTCGCATCCCCGTCTCACTCCTACCCAATATCTTTCTCCTTTCGGTTTCTGTCCCTCCCTTCTATCACTATCATTCTTGTCCCCCTTCTTTCTCTTTCCTCCTTGCCCTTCCCTCTTCTTTCCTCTCTCCTTCCTCCCC